CGTGAAAGCCAGCGAAGCTGGTTCTCTGCTGCATTGTATGGTTCACCCAGCATTAGCGGCTCTGCAGCACGAACAGCGGTAGTAGTAGCAGTGGCGGTGGAACGAGCACCAGCAGTAGTGGCAGCAGCACTGGTAGCAGCACAAGCAGCAGCTGCAGAAATGCTCTCGTTATGAGGGTGCTGCTGCACTCGCTGACGCACAGTGCCCCATTTCGAGCTTATAACGAATGCCGCTCCCCCAGCAGAACCAACAGCCGCAGCAGTGGCAGCGGCAGCCTCAGCAGCAGCAGCAGCAGCAGAAGAAGAATGGGTGGGTGCGGCGGCGGCAGCAGCAGCAACGGCGTCGGCTGAGAAAGCGTCTCTGACACGTTTACTACTACTGCCAGGCGTGCAAGATTCCTCTTGAAGATTCACATAGTAGTAGTCTGGAAATGAACTGCTACGCGTGGCATTATTAATAGTAGTTCCGCCTTCGCCTGGTAAGTGTAGCAGCATTCCTCCGCCACCTCCTGGCGGAAACCACGGGCTAGGGGCGCGCGAGTTGGAGCTTCTTCCGCTTCCGCCGCTCCCTCCCTTACCGCCGCCCCTGTTGCCCCCGGCGGAGCTGTTCCCCCCGTTGTGCGCGGATTTGTGTCCGCCGAGGGCCTGCAATGAGTGGAAGCGGGCTCCGCACACGAGGCACGTGAACTGCGGCAGTTCCAACGCCGCCATTAGTCAAGACGAGTTTTGGTCCAAGTCTTATTGCGCAAGGCCTCAGCTGATGACTCGTATAGAATTGCGTCTCAGGTGCTAGTATCGGCGGGTGTAGTAGAGCCTCGGGTGTTAGGAGGTTTCAGCAGGCTGAGAAGACACTTGAGCAGAGTATGAGCCGGGCATAGTGAGTGAGAGCTCGAGATTTTCCGGTGAGCGTTACACTGCCACCAACGTGGGGCAAGGGGGCTCTTACGAAAGAGAGTGGTAAGAGGTAGGCGGCGTATTGGTTGAGAGAGGAAATTGGCAGAGCTGGTAACTTGAAGAGTGAAAGAGAGAGAGACAGACAGCGGCTCTTGAAGCAAGTTTCTGACAGTTAGGGAGCAAGACGCTGGGAAACGGATTCGTTCTGCTTATGAGTCGACTCGAAGGCAGACTCATGGACAAATTCCGCCGTGTTTCTTTGCAAAACTCTGCATAGGCGACGCGGAGAAACTACTACGAAGGTGCTTAGAGGGTTTCACCAGAGGCCGCTATGCCACCAGCAAGCCTAAAAAACAGGGTCGAAAGAAGCAGCCTGCTGTATTTGGGTTTGGGACTACTTTGGGAGCAGACGACGGCATATTCTCTTGTGACCGGACGACGATGTGACGACGATGTAATGCTGCTCCCCCGACCCGGAGCATGCTTTTGAAAAAAGTTCGCAGGTTTGCGAGTCACTACGTGGCGACTCGAAGAAGGAACGAGTTGCGTTGCGTGGTCAACCCATCAGCGGCAGTTTGGCTGCTGGGAGAAACAGAAGCTTTGCCGTTCGAATCGACCTCAGAAAAGCGGCTTTTTTTAGCGAAACGCGTCTCGTTTTCTTGGCGTCGGTGAAGGCTGGGCGGAAAGCATTTATTGTTTCGCACCAATCTCATGGAGGCTCTGGCTCGACGCTTGGCAGACAGGCAGACTTTGCCGTGCTGCGCTGTACAGAAGAGTCGGCTGCCTGCCCATCATGTTTAGCGAGGTTCACTCAATCGCCCGGAAGTGACATCCGATTGGATCCCGGTGCGTGCTTGTGGGCATGTGTCATGCTCTGCAAACGAGCCTTTCTGCTGCAAACGAAACTGCAAGCTTCTGTAGACCGTATTTTCAGCGTGCGTAGGTAGAGTTGCACCGCTGCTTTCTGGCGGTTCCGAGTTGTAAGGACTGACGCTCTCCACTCAGCAAACTCAACAAGTGTTGACAGATGGACCTTGCACTGCCAGGTGGGTGAACGATGACGGGGATTCGGGGAGTCGGTTGAAGAATGGCTGTAGGGAGTAGCAGTGATGGCGCTGGGAGTAGCAGTGATGGCCTCAAACCCGTCAACCTTCGTGCGCACGCGAATTTCAGTGAGCTTCGTTACTTAGCCAAGAGAAGAAAAATTCGACATTACAATGTCCAATTCCTCGGGTGGTTGTTTGCAATCGTTAGCTGGTTGTGTTTCCAAAAAATTGTTACCTGACAAGGTTCCAACTTCCAACCCTTCTCTTCCCGTATAACTGTAGTACTGCTATAATTATAATGTCGGCACACTTGGATCGGATTTGAGAGAAGGGTGGCTTTGGAAAACCGAAAGCTAGCACAGTTGCAACCCACACTTGCAAGATTGAAGAAGACCACAGCAGACCCGAAGGGTATTTGTGATTAATACACTCTGGAAATAGGCCATACTTTCCTAAATACAAGCACCTTTCTAATGAGGCAAGGGAGGGTCTCTTGACATGACTCGTGGAGAGAGGATGAAGATACGTATGACCCGATATGACATGCAGCGTACTGGTCGGGATTTTGAAGATATACAGTATCCGACCTGCGATCTCTTTCGCAAACATCTGTACGTACGGGCCAGATAAAAATCTGCGACTAAGAGGAAGTCACAAACATGTCACCAACTCTCGTGATGGAGGAACTGCCGCCAGGTCATAGGATCCTTGATGCTGACGCTAATCGGCACTTTTTCTCGTGCGCAATAATAATCTCGCGCTTGGTCATGGGAGACGGATTGATGTAATTCGTTAGCAGTTGTCCCTTGGTGACAGCGAAATGTTGATCACGTGACACCACAGTTGTGCTGTAACGCAGCTTCCCGAAACTCGGGAGAGTTGTGGTCAACAACAAAGCTCGACCGTCACCCGGACTGGATGCTGCCGTCACCCAGCAACATCAATTTCCGCGAATCAGCAACTCCAATTTGATACTCGCCATGGTTATCTCTCGTTGCCATGCATCGCTGAGACAAAATAAAAAATGTAAACAGAACTGTGTGGCAACACTATATACAAGACAATACTGACATGTTTTCCTTGCATGTGCAATGCATTCACCTATCCTTCAGCGTCTTCAAGCCACTCTATCAAATCACCACCATAAGGGTCAGCGACCGTTGACCAATCGAGGTCACTGGCAATCATGCCATTTGCACCATTCCCACATAAAATCGTAGTCAGCATGCTAGCAGCAGCGTCCTCTGGCAAGGTTAGGAGCCCACATGAGCTAATGTGAAAATCAGGGTGGGATGCGATACCAGTATGACCTGGATGAGTAGATGGGGGAGGAAGGTTACGTAGGAGTGCAGTTTGCGAATGAGATGGAAATGGTTGTAGGGAATAACTAGGACGCATAAGAGGCGTATGGTTTGTCAAATGTGCATTCATCGTGATATCAATTGGGGAGGTCGAGAACACCGGAGGCTGATTACTGGGGGGCAATGGCAAGACTTCCAATGCTTGTGTCTCTACCCGGGTCGTTTCAAGCTCGCATTGTTTGTCCGGTCCTTGAAAATGACTCGGCAAGGGTGTCTCAAGAGTCTCGTTGGGCTTTATTAGTGGATGCTGGGCTCCTAAGGGTCGTGCTGCTGGGATGCCAGCCACATGGGCTCCTTCTGCTTGCACTGCCTGATGCTGCTGCTGAATCTGGTGCTGGTATTGCTGCTGCTGATGCTGCTGCTGATTCTGGTGCTGGTATTGCTGCTGCTGATGCTGCTGAGACTGATGCTGATGCCATTGCTGATACTGCTGCTGGTAAAGCTGCTGCTGTTGCTGATGTAGTTGCTGTTGCTGCTTTCGTTGTTGTTGCTGCTGTTGTTGCTGTTCTTGTTGCTGCTGCTGCTGCTGCCGCCGTTGTTGCTGTTGTTGGTGGTGTTGCTGTTGTTGTTGCTGTTGTTGTTGTTGCTGCTTCTGCTGCTGGTGCTGCTGCTGCTTCTGCTGCTCCTGTTGTTTCTGTATTTCTTGTTGTTGCTGCTGGTGCTGCTGCTGCTTCTGCTGCTCCTGTTGTTTCTGTATTTCCTGTTGTTGCTGCTGCTGCTGCTGCCACTGGCGGTGGCGATGCTGCTGCCGGTGATGGTGATGGTGGTGGTGGCGCTGCTGCTCCCGTGATTCAGACACCTGATGTTGTGTGCCTTGCTGCACATGTAGCTGTGCCGAATGTGGCACCTGATAATGCAGCACCTGATTTTGCACCTGATGTGGCACCTGATATTGCTGTGTCTCATATTGCCGCAACTCCTGTCGCTGCACCTGTTGTTGCTGCACCTGCTGCTGCTGCTGCTGCTGCTGCTGCTGCTGCTGCTGCTGCTGCTGCTGCTGCTGCTGCTGCTGCTTCTGCTGCTGCACCTGTCGTTGCTGCACCTGCTGCTGCTGCTCCTGCACCTGCTGCTGCTGCTGCTGCTGCTGCACCTGCTGCTGATTCTGCTCTTGCATGTGCCCCAGCACACTTCTCTCTGCGTCACTGACCGTTCTCATCCAGGGATGACCCCCATCCAGTGCAGTCCATGGCCTTCCATTCCCACCACTTCCCACCTGCTCCCACCCCATTCCATCCCACCGCCATGACCCTTGAAGTCTCTCCTTCTCCCAACTTTCACCCCCCCTCCTCTCCTCCTCCCAAAGTCTCGCCTCCCTCCTCTCTTCCCCTCCCCTTTCCTCATCCGTCCTCGTCCCCTCCCTCCTTGTCTCCTCCCTCGCTTCCTCTGCACTCCTTTCCTCCTCCATCCTTCGTACCTCAACCGCATTATTGCCCCTTGTGTGCCCATCCGTCCCTTGCACTCCACTGGCTCCTAAACGCTGCACGTGATGAGACAACTCTTGATTCGACTCTAAAATCGCCTGATTTTCCCTGGTTGCCTGCTCTACACCGAGCATTCCACCCGGGAGCATTCCACCCGGGAGCATTCCACCCCCTCCCAACCCCCGCATCCCTCCTGCGTCACCAGCCCCCACTCCGTCTCTCCCACCACTCTCCTTAGCACTCCACATCACATCCCCCCCACCACCACTCCACAACCCCTCACTCCCCCACCTCTCCTCCCTCCTCCTCTGCTGCTCCAGCCCCGGTTCCTTCCCCTCCCACAGCCTCTGTGCCTCCTCGAAAGCACGCGATCGCCTCTCCTCCCTCCTGCGCTGCTCCAGCAGCGAACCTGTTCCCTCCCATGCCAGTATCGCCGCCGCTACCTGCTGTGAGCTCGCGCCTACCAGGGATTCATATACTGCCGAAGAATTGGCTTGGGTTGCCGTGAGTGGAGCAGGAGAAGCAGGAGCAGCAGCAGCAGCTGCCGCCGCTACCTGCTGTGAGCTCACGCCTACCAGGGATTCATATACTGCTGAACTTGCCACCGGTGAAGGTGCAGCAGGTGCACCAGGAGTAGAAGCAGCAGGAGCAGCAAGAGGAGCAGGAGGGGCAGCAGGAGCAGGAGGGGCAGCCGGAGTAGGAGAAGCAGCAGGAGCAGGAGAAGCAGCAGGAGCAGCAATGGCAGCAGGAGCAGCAGGAGCAGCAATGGCAGAAGGAGCAGCAGGAGCAGCAAGGGCAGCAGGAGCAGCAGGGGAAGCAGAGGCAGGAGAAGCAGCAGGAGCAGGAGGAGCAGCAAGGGAAGCAGGGGCAGCAGGGGCAGTCGAGGCAGGAGAAGCAGAAGAAGCAGCAGGAGCAGCAGGAGCAGAAGCAGAAGCATATCTAGGAGAAAAAGCAGCAGCTACCTGCTGAGAGCTCACACCCTCCATGGTAGTGTGAGAAGTCGAAGTGGTGGCATCGTGAGACATTGACATGCCCGCATGAGATGTTGACGTGCTTGCGTGGGAAACGGAAGTCCAGGGAACTTCTTGAGAGATGAACACTTGCTGCTGCTCGTGCTGCTGCTGCTGCTGCTGCTGCTGCTGCTGCTGCTGATGAAGATGATGATGCTGCTGATGCTGTTGTTGCATTTCCCACCACCTCTCAGTCTCCGAAAATCGAGGTTCCAAGCCCACCGACTGCTGCTGTTGCTGCTGCCCATACCACTGCTGTTGCAAATGATACTGCTGATGCTGGGGCTGCTGCTGCTGCTGCTGCTGCTGCTGCTGCTGATGATGATGATGATGATGATGATGATGATGATGATGATGATGATGATGATGATGATGATGATGCTGCTGCTGCTGCTGCTGCTGCTGCTGCTGCTGCTGCTGCTGCTGCTGCTGCTGCTGCTGCTGAAACAAGGGGTAGAGGTCTGAGAATGACCGTATGGCCCTACCGAGCCCACACGGGGGAACCTTCCGCTTCCTCTCTCCGTCCCCCATTGCCACTGCACCTTCCTCTCTCCCTCCATCCACCCTCCGCATTCCACCACCGTCCAGCACCTCACTGCACCCCCCACCATCCACTCCAGCAGCAGCAGCAGCAGCAGCAGCATCCCTGGCAGCAGCATCACTGGCAGCATCTTCACCGCTCCCCACGCCACTCAACCGCCCAGCAACAGCTGCCGGAGCAGAGAAGGCCGGACCACCACCAGCAGCCGCAGCAGGGGCATCAATAGAGTACGCCTCTCCCCCCCTATCCCACCCCTGATCTAACTCAAATAGCATTGCTAGCTGCTGTTCCAACGCCCCGCAAACCCCACTCTGCCCCGCCCCTTCTCCTTCCCCCTCCCTTTCCCCTTCAACTTCCACTGCCCCTTCCCTCTCCGCTTGTCTCTGCCCCACCCCCCTTGCCCCCCTCTCCCCTGCCCTTTTCCTTGATTTCTCCCCTTCCCACACTCTTTTCCCGCTATCCTCTCTGATCCCTCTACTCTCCTCTCCATCACGCATAATTTCCTCTCCCAACGCTGCTGAGTACTCTCTTTCCCCTGCTGCTGCTGCTGCTGCTGCTGTTCCTGCTGTTGCTGCAGGTGGTGGTGGTGGTGCTGCTGCTGCTGCTGCTGTAGCAGCAGCCGTCGCAGCTGTGACTGACACAATTGGAACGGATTTAGCGACAGTAGCTGCAGCTGACGGCGCTACAGCTGGCGACGCCACTGTAGCATTGCTAGGAGCCGTAGCAAGGGTCTCAGGAAGAGAAGCCCTGGCATGTTCCTTGGCAGTTGCACCCTCAGCTGTAGCAGCAGCCGTCTTGGCCTGTAGCTGTGTCGCACTCCCCCCACCCTGCTGCTGTGAAACCATAGCTGTAGCCATGGCTGTAGCTGTAGCAGCAGCCGTCCTGGGCTGTAGCTGTGCCTGACTCGTTCCAACCGGAGCTGTAGCAGCAGCCCTTTGAATCTGTAGCTCAGTCGCGCTCCCCCCACCCTGCTGGTGAGAAACCATGGCTGTAGCCATATCTGTAACCATAGCTGTAGCCATGGCTGTAGCTGTAGCTGTGGCTTGAGACTTGTGTTTCTCCAGGAACCTCCTGCTCTTGGGGCACGTAGCATGACGTGAGAGGATGGGGCACGTGGCACGACGTGAGAGGATGGGGCACCTGGCATGACGTGAGAGCATGGGGCACGTGGCATGACGTGAGAGGATGGGGCACGTGGCATGACGTGAGAGCATGGGGCACGTGGCATGGCGTGAGAGCATGGGGCACGTGGCATGGCGTGAGAGCATGGGGCACGTGGCATGGCGTGAGAGCATGGGGCACGTGGCATGGCGTGAGAGCATGGGGCACGTGGCATGGCGTGAGAGCATGGGGCACGTGGCATGGCGTGAGAGCATGGGGCACGTGGCATGGCGTGAGAGCATGGGGCACGTGGCATGGCGTGAGAGCATGGGGCACGTGGCATGGCGTGAGAGCATGGGGCACGTGGCATGGCGTGAGAGCATGGGGCACGTGGCATATCATAAAGCCTTAGGTCGTATCCCAGCCAAGTGTCAAGAAGTTGGTGTCAAGAAGTTTGCGCACCCGATTTGTCCAACAAAGATGCCTGGCCAATGCGATTGGCCAAGCGTTTTTTTCAACCAATCGCGTGCGCTAACTTCTTGACACCAACTTCTTGACATTAGGCTGGGATACGACCTTAGTGATGGCATGGTGATGGCAAAATAGACGGACCACACAGTTGCTCATGGAAAACGGAACCAAACAATATAGTAGCAATAGTATTAGTAAAAGTTATAGTAATACAAATATTACTAACTTTGATAGTAACAATGATAATACTAACTCACTTATTAGAAAGGATAAACCGGTTGTTCGGTGAAGTGCGGTGCGACTCACTTTTTGAGAAGAATGAAGCGGTTGCAGCATGCCTTGTTGTCGCGCAGAGGCAGCGAGCGGCTTTGCTGCAGCAGCCCCCAGTTGCGCGTTCCGTAGCGCGTGACGTGGCGCAGCAAAACCCTGTCCTCCTGGGGCCAGGAGGGTATAAGGCGGAACGGGGAAGGGGGAAGAAGGAAGGGGAAGGGGGAGGGAAAAGACTTATTGCTTGACTGCGCGTGCCATAGGGCGTGAAGTGGCGCAGCAACACCCTGTTGGAGCCGGGAGGGGATAAGGGAAGGGCGAAGCAGGGCGATCAAGGAGGCTGTGAAGCAGCTGCACCTGAAGCCACTGCCTGGCGGCCTTGCTGGTACTAACGAGGCGGCTTATAACGAACGCCTGCCGGCCGCCCACCTCGTTGGTCCATCGGAGGAACTGCTCCGAGGGGGAACGTCGCCGTGTCTGCCGCTGCTGCTTTGAGGCGACTCAAAATACACAGAAAGACACCGTCTACTATAAACACGCCTCACCTCGTTGGTCCATCGGAGGAACTGCTCCGGGGGAACGTCGCTGTGTCTGCCGCTGCTGCTAAAACTACCACCGGTGGCGCCGCCGCCGCCGCCGGCGCCAACACCGGAATACCATGGCGTCGATCCCAGCAGCCCACTAGTCGGCGTTTGAGTCGGCGCAAAGGGCAACAGCACACTACCAGCTGGTTCATCCGGCTCAAACGCAAAGGGCTCGTTGATCCGAGTTGGGTCGCCAGAGAGCCCGCCTGCGCCGCCTACGCCAGCGCTTGCGCTTAGTAGGCCTCCGCCAAACACTCCGCCTGACCTTCCGCCTGGTCCCCCGCCCAAGCTTCCGCTTGGGTCTCCCCCTATTAAGCCTCCGCCTCCGCCAAAGCCTCCCTCTGAGCCTCCGCCAAAGCCTCCGCCATAGCCTCCCCCTGATACTCCCCCTGAGCCTCCTCCAAAGCCTCCCCCTGAGCCTCCGCCATAGCCACCCCCTGATACTCCCCCTGAGCCTCCGCCAAAGCCCCCCCCTAAGCCTCCGCCAAAGCCTCCCCCAGAGCCTCCGCCATAGCCTCCCCCTGATGCTCCCCCTGAGCCTCCGCCAAAGCCTCCCCCTGAGCCTCCGCCAAAGTCTCCCCCTGAGCCTCCGCCATAGCCTCCCCCTTATACTCCCCCTGAGCCTCCGCCAAAGCCATTTCCTGAGCCTCCGCCATAGCCTCCTCCTGGGCCTCCGCCATGATAAACTCCCCCTGAGACTCCGCCCGAGCCTCCGCCATAGCCTCCCCCTGAGCCTCCGCCAAAAACTCCTCCTGAGGCTCCGCCTGAGCCCCCGTCTGCGCCTCTATTCCGTGCGGCGACCGTTGAAACGCTGTTACTCGTTCCGCTGCGCGTAAACATGCCAGGCTCCGCCTGAGGTTCGACGCTCCAAGCGGCGGGAGTCCGGCTGTGCGTAGTGGTAGCAGCAGTGGGACTTGGAATGTTATATGTAGTGAAATCTCCTGGAGGTGAAAATAAGAGAGCCCTGGGACCCAGGTGGTTACCTCCGCCGCTCCAGGCCTCCGGTGGCGCTTGATCATACCCGCTTCTGGAAATCCCGTTTTCGTTTATGGGGATGGTGGCATTCACATTCTTGCTGCTCCTATGTGGCTGAATTGGTCGGCCGCGCTTCATCATGATGTCGAGCCACGGCGGCGAAGAGAATTGGTGCTCCGAGCAAAGTTACGAGTCGTAAGAAAGTTACGCCTGAAACCACTAGTAGTAATGCCGCATTCTGATCCCGGCGGGCGGGGTCCATGTGGCGTTCTACTAGTAGTGCTATTGAACACGATGTGCCCTCAGAAATTACGACTCAATCCGGATAATCATCCCCATCCAGCGCGCGTCTTTTCCCGTTGGCGGCTCGCAACGCGCTTGATACTTTGCAACGAAAAAATAACGAAATGTGAGTTTCACGAACGTGGAGTTTTCAGAGATTCTGGGGCGATGCAATGCGAATGGCATTCGGCGAGCGAGTGATTCTGGAAATCTCCCACTGAAAGTGTCTCGTGCAGGAATCTTCTTCAGTGGCAACGGAGGAGGCCTTTGCCCGTCGAATAAGCTCCGCCTTTCAAAGGATGCCGCACCTGGCTTATCAGATCGAGGGGCAAGGAAGCCGGGAAAGATGCATAATTTGAGCAGCAAGGGTTTTATAATCATGCTGCCTGTTCTGTCTGTGCATGGCTGTGAGATTTGGAGATTCGGTAAGTGAGGGGAGGTAAGGCTGGGGACCTGGGGTCGTGGAGCGGACCCCCCTGGACTCAATTTTGAGAGCAAGTTGGAAAAAAGAAGATTGCGACACTGCGCTTCGGGATGAAGAATGCGATGCGCTTGGAAAATAAAGGCGTCTGTTCCACCTACATATCTGCGTGGCAAAGGGATGTGGTTTAGACGACGGGAAAATTCATGAACTTGTCCACGTCGGCCAGTCAAACGGCGAACGTCCTAAAACGTAATAATTGCAATACCATTGGGGCCAATCTTGTATGATTTTTTACTGAAATTCCGTTGTTCATCACCCTTGTCAGGGAAACGGTCTGCCCAGCTGCCAGCTTGTCTACAAATTCTATAGCCTGAACCAGGTTCAGTCTCGAATTCTGGTTGACCCACCTTCACCGACGCTATATTGTCGGCTGCTGATGTGGCAGGTAGTGTTAAACATGCTCTCGCTATTTGCGATACTTGAAGGCACCGCTGTAAGGAATTTTCCCGAATTCCTTATCGGGATTTACTGCTTCGCGTACAACCCGATTTCAACGCTGCCGAGGCTCCTCGCGTCGCCTTCGGCATTCCCATCGCCAAACCTGCACCCAACCTCGCTCGTCCGAGGTTTCCTCCTAGCTAGACCAGCCCTACATTAGTCTGTGCACTCATTGTATTCGCAGTTGATTCCGTCAAAGCCTCGTTATTCGTTTACCTGCACTCTCTCTTTTACAACTCATAACACCTGATCATCATTATTTATATTTTACATCGAGTATGTTGAATAAGAGTTTCAGCATAATTCACCCAGATACACAGCATCTTAATATCTTGGCCTAGAAAAAAAAGGCCTCCAGTCCGTGGCAGAATGAAAGAAAATCAACCTGAAGACATCATATCCAGCAAAAAGTCTGGGCGCAATGCCAGGACCTCACCATCTTCTCTTGGAGCCACGCAACCATCAATCTGCTCCCCCATTTCCAACCCAGATCGCCCCATCATGCATGCTGGGTAACCAGCGCCACCAATTTTAATGCCAACATCGGTATCCAGGAGAGTCAGGTCCGGCCACGATAGGCAGGAGGTGAGGCTGTTCAAACAAGCCAAAAGCTCCGAATCTGGCACAAGCACCGAACCCGCAGCGTAAAGCCCAGCAGCAGCAGCAGCAGTGGCAGCAGTGTCAGAAGCAGCTGAGTCAGGAGCTTTTTTTGTGTCGACAACCGACGAGTGTGCTTCACGACATTCGTCAGCAACTCCTGCCCTCTCCGCGGGCCAGTCGGTGCAGTTTCGACCGGCTAAAGCAGGATCAGGGGCAGCGGCAAAAGCAGGATCACGGCCAGTGGCAAAAGCTGCGTCACGGACGCAAAAATCGCTCTCGACATTGACGGAAACACCCTCCACGTCGACAAGCCGGGCGGCAGGAGGAGCAGGAGAGGCGGATGAGGGGTTTACCTCTGGCGAAGCGGGCGGCACAGGCGAAGAGGGAACAGTGTTGCCAGTAAGGTTCATGGCATACCACTGCTGCTGCTGCTGAGCATGATGCGGCGGTGGTGGTGCAGGGGTCTCATCAGACATCTCAGTGTCGTCGCTGCCGAGTCTCACAGCGCCGTAGCTTTGGAGTCTGGTGGTTGCCTCCTCCCGCGTCTCCTCCCTCGCCTCCTCCTTGCACGGCCCCATCATCCTCGCTCTCTTCCGCTCACGCTCATCCACGCACCTCACGCCCCCACCAGAAACATAAGCAGCAGCAGCCGAGGCAGCGGAGGCGGCGGCGGCGGCAGATGAAGCATCGTAGGCGTACGCGGTTTCGGCGCGGTCGATCCGGGGGGCGGCGGCGGGTGAAGCGGCGGCGGGAGAAGCAGAATCAGCAGCAGCAGCACGAGGAGGAGGAGCCTTGGAGGCGCTGTGACGATGAACCCTCGGAAGAGTCGGAGTGCCGGGCGGAGCAGCACCGCGCGGAGAAGCAACGGGGGGAGCAACGCCAAGCGGAGAAACAGGGGGAGTACCCGGCCCAGGCAGAGCAGCCACCGCCACTGCCAGCGGAGTCCGCGGAACCGGACAAGGGGACAAGCCAACGGCGGAGCTTGTCACATGCTGCGCGTGCGGAAACGCGGAAGCGGCAAATGCGGCGTGATGCGGCGCGAGGGACGTGCGCGACGGGTGCGGGGAGAGATTCGTCGAGTTGTCCGAGCAGGCGGCGGCGGCGGAAGCAGCGGCGGCGCTGGACACGGCGGCGTCGGCGGCGGTAAAACCCCAATCGCCGGTCAGTTCGACGACGAGACGCGACGACGACTTCCGGGGCGGCATCGCGTCGAGAAGCAGGGAGCGATGCGTCGACGGAGCGGAGGGGAAAGGAAGCGGCGGCGCGGTGAAAGAGTAAGCGTCGAGGGAGTTGAGGGAGTTGAGCGATGTGGAGTGCGGTGAGGTGGTTGAAGACGCCAGTAGGCCCTCAGGGCCGGCCGAGAGGTGATGCTGGTGGGAGTGGTGATGGTTCAGATTGTTGTCTCGCATTCCCTCTCGCATTCCCGTAACCACGCAGTTGGAGTAATTCTCACGCGACGGATGGTTACCACTGCCAAGCGATTGCTGATTACCGCTCCGAAGAGAATGGTAGCTTGGCGCGCAATGCAGCGCGTAAGCCGTCGCCGTGGCGCTCCAGTGGTGCGGCTCGCCGACCGGCGGCAGCGCCAGCGGCGGCGGCGGGAGCGACCCGCCGCCAGGAGCCGACGGCCTGACGGGATCGGGACCCATCAGGAACGCGCCGTGAGCCACGGAGGATGAGCCGTCTTGCTCGATGAACTTCCTGCGAACAGGGAGCGGAACGAACGGCGGGGGTGGGAAAGTCGATGAGAGGAGACATTCGCAACGATTGCGACAGAAGGAACAAATTTCGGTGCATTTTTTTTTTCCGTCAGTTCTGGATGCGCTGCCGTTGGGTAGAAATTTGAAGTTGCAAAAGGTTCAGAGCGGTTCGCGACGCACTTTTTTAGGAGGATGAAGCGGTTGCAGCACGCCTTGTTGTCGCGCAGCGGCAGGCGGTTGCTGCGCTGCAGCAAGCCCCATTGGCTTGTGCCGTGCAGCATCACGTGCTCCAATAGAATTGCGTCCTCCTGTGCGCCGAGCCGAGACGCGTTACGATGGGATAAGAGGAGACAAGATAGATAAGATGAGAAAAAATGAGACGGGATGTGATATGGGGTGTAGCGTTATGCGAATTTGAATGCATGGCTTCGGGAAAACGCAATGTGGGGTACTGTAGCCGCAACGTGATGCGAGAATCTCACAAGAAGCTTACCTCGGGTGTCCATCGCGCGATGTAGTGTCTGGCGGGCCGCGTTTTGACCCTTGACTTTATCGAGCACGCTTCGCTGGAAATCGCATCCATCCCGTAACAACGTTAGCGAAAATCGCTGGAATATTATTTTTTTTTCTCTTGTCGAGCGCGAAAGAACCCGCGTCTCGTGCACCTCTTGATGGCTTCGAGGCTCTAGCTTGAAAGTCTGGAAGGAGATAAACTGAGCGCTGAGAGATAAACTGCAGTATCTTGATGCTCGAGCTATGATGATCAACTGAGAAGCTCGCTCCTCTTGAAGGAACTAGCGTTTCGTAAGAGTGAACTGGATAATATGGCTGTGAGGATTTATCGATATTTCTGGACGTGTAAAGGTCTAGTCCTTGGAGAAGATAAGGTAGGTTTCGTAAGCAGTGAGTGAGTGGTCGTGTTGTGGGTGGGTGCTCGTCTTGTTCCGCGCGTTGAATATTTCGAGCGGAGAAGGGTCTCACCTCAGGTTGGGGGAAGGTAAATGGGGCAAATTCAGACGATGCGCGGAAAGTGGGGCACTCGGGGGAGGCCAGTAATTGGCGCGCTGTGCTGGTCCTCCGCCCTTGACGAATTTGGAGGAACTCGGCTGGTGAAAGATCGGGAGAAGGGGGGGAATGGAAAGGACTGCAGTGCGCGCGGAACTGCGGAACGGGCGGAAAGTGCACAGCGACCTCGCGCTCGCGACTCGCTAGGATTGGTGGGCAACCTCACGGGAGGCGGGGGAGTTTTGACCGCGCTGGCTTCGGATTGGGCGGAGGGGACGCATTCGAGATGGAAGGAAATGCACCCAAGGTGGGAAAAGGGGGTGTTTGTGTGTGTGGAGTGGAGGTGGGGCCAGGGGTTTTGTTTTCCCATCCCACCCATAACCAGAGATGCAGACCAGCAGGAAGCAGCTGTTCTGGGTGCGGACCAGAGTCCAGATTTTGCTGGTCCCACCCCATCTCAACCCACCCAGTTTCACTTCACCCACCCTATTTTCCAGCTCCCTCCCCCTTTCCCCCCCAACCCCCCCGCCGGGAAAACATGGTGATCGGAAAAGATTGGGAGGAAGGGGTGGGCCCACGCTAATATGGCGGAAAGAGAAAGTGCGCACAGTGCATCCTGGGTCATGGCGAAAAGCGGGAAACCGCGGGTGTCAGCGGACGGCATCTGGGCGGAAAGCTGGCATGCCGGCGTCAGAAAGCCTACTTGATGAGTCATTGGCTGGAATTTCTGATGACGGGTCTGGTGCAGAGCATTTCTGCTTCGTGCGAAATACGCATCTGACGGTGATGATGAGCTAAAAGCCAAGGACTTGAATATCTTCTAGAGATATCTCCTGAACCTGCGCGAGACTGCAAGATTGCTGATTGGTCGATCCCTACGACCACTGTGTCCAATGGTGGCCAACCAAATGACCCTTCACAATTTTGGGGGACAGAAGTTTTACACTACAGTCAAGTTCACTGTGGAGACACTTTCCGACCGACCGAGCACTGCCACAATGCGCCTGTTTTGGAACATGCATGCATGCACAACAAACAAACAAACATTGCTCTCGTCTGTTTGAAGCGTTCAAAAGACTAGGTCCAGTTTTGGCAGATGCAACAAACCTACCCGTTGGGGGTGGTTGATCGGGAAGCAATCATTTCACCCGTGTTTACGCATGTGCAGTTCAGAGAATCTTGGTGACAAGTATCTACGCTCCCATTAGAGGAATCCGCTGTAAAACAGGAGCTCTTTCATCCGCATCTCGTGTAAACTTGCCGCTAAGTCTATTATGAACCATACAACATCTGTGTACATATATTATATGCACAGTAGGTTTCAGACAAATAGATCCACAACCTCCTCACTTGCTTGGGGGAACTATGATTGCATATTTATCCGTCCTCTATCAAGCAGCACTCAAGGTGCAGCTTATGCCCAACAAAATAGCATCAACCATTTCTATTTCTCTGTGCTCTAATATCACAAACCCCCTTCCTCATCTCTTACCTTCCCCATTCACCCCTCCGCTTTCCATACAACGACCCCGTTGTGACAAGAAGTGAACGAGAGAATGAGTGAACTATGAACGAAGTGAGTACAAATAGGAAACCCTAACTGGGTTGTACCCCCTATGGGATACCCCACTATAGCCTACATAAATGAGTAAGCTATAATGTTCTAACACACCCCCATAGGCAAAGTGGGAGAGAACAAGGGGTCACAAGACCAGTCAAGTAAAGCAAAGCAAAGCTCAGGGTGGATCACAAAGTCACCACACCAGGGCTGACGTTTCAAATTTAGGTACCCTGATGTCCACCAAAAAAAAAAAAATTAACCCTGAAGGCATATTTTCCAGAAAAGCAGCACCCTGATTGCTCAGTGTTGGGAAGTTATACAGTCTGAGTGTTCAGGGTCGAGAAGTCACAATCAGGGTACGTGTAGTAACGCGATGTGCATTATCGAAACTGAACTTTGATGGCGAATCTGTTCTGTGAAAGGGCGAATGTGCAATGTCAGATACATTTTACTGTGATTGGTCAAGACCTTTGTGCTCTGACAGCTCAAATCTGCTGTGTCAGGGCCATTTCGCTGTGATTGGGCAAATTCGTTGCTCCGTACAGCGCGAATTCGCTTTGTCAACGCAAATATTTAATGACGCTGGTGCTGTGACCAGTCAAGACGGGTTTGACTCACCAGTTTGACCCTCACTAGTGAACCTCGGAGGTGGGTGTATCGAAAGGAAATTTCGAGGAAGCTTCCTCCCGATAAACTTGCATGTAGGGACCACAGAACGCATACTCTGTAGTGACAGACTCCAGAAATGACTAACACTGAGGCCTATTACACTGAATCAGGGGCCATAAAACAATAACTCTGAGGCTCTCAGTGATGAAAATTTGACTACTCTGGAATTCCATTTTTCACAAACTCGATGGTCTGATCCGTCAGACTAATCAGACTATTTACTCTGATAGCGTCAGCCCTGCACCACACATTCCGAGCACAAGTTCAAAAGGCCAGAAGGCCAGTTCACATGCAAGATCATATATAAAGATATACAAGAGTCAAGCAAGTAAGAGCAAGAGTATATATAGGTGAAGGTACAAGCAAGGTAAAGAAGTGAGCAAGTGAGGCAAGACAGACACAAGACCCAACTGCGTGCAACAACGCTGATGATCACAAGGCGCAAGTGCCTTAGAGAAGACATCAGCAGTGTTGTGTCAGAACATATCTATAGCTTATACTGCTGTGTAGGCTGTAGTGGGGTATCCCATAGGGGGTACAACCCAGTTAGGGTTTCATATTTGTACTGCTTTCATTCATAGTTCATTCATTCCTGTTTTCCTATTTTCACATGGTATAGAGCGGGTCCTACCTTAGGACCGTTGTTTGGGCCCACCGACGCGCGCCCCGAGGCGCGCCTTTCTTTTAGCGACCCCTCGGGTCGCCTTTTCACTCGCGGCCCCGCCGCCTCCTCTGACGCGGCTTTGCCGCCTCCCTTGACGCGGCCCAGCCGCCTCCCTTGACGCGGCCCCGCCGCCTCTTTTAACGCGGCCCCGCCGCCTCCCTTGACGCTGCCCCGCCGCCTCCCTTGACGCTGCCCCGCCGCCTCCCTTGACGCGGCCTCGCCGCCTCCCCTGACGCGGCCCCGCCGCCTCCCCTGACGCGGCCCTGCCGCCTCCCTTGACGCGGCCCCGCCGCCTCCCTTGACGCGGCCCCGCCGCCTCCCCTGACGCGGCCCCGCCGCCTCCCCTGACGAGGCCCCGCCGCCTCCCCTGACGCGACTCCGCCGCCTCCCCTGACGCGGCCCCGCCGCCTCCATTGACGCGGCCCCGCCGCCTCCCCTGACGCGGCCACGCCGCCTCCTCTGACGCGGCCCCACCTCTGCTGCCGACGGCCCCGCCGCTGCACTCTACGGCCCGCCGCTGCACCCTGCCGGCCCGTCGCTGCTCCTGCCGGCCCGCCGCTGCACCCTGCCGGCCCGCCGCTGCTCCTGCCGGCCCGCCGCTGCACCTACCGGCCCGCCGCTGCACCCATCGGCCCGCCGCCTCTTACGGCCCGCCACTTGCACCTGCCGGCCCGCCGCTGCACCTGCCGGCCCGACGCTGCACCTGCCGGCCCGACGCTGCATCTCCCGGCCGAGCCGCCCCAGCAGCCGAGCCGCCCGGGACCCGAGCCGCCCTGCCGCCGAGCCGCCCGGGAGCCGAGCCGCCCTGCACCCGAGCCGCCCAGCCGCCGAGCCGCCCGGGAGCCGAGCCGCCCTGCACCCTAGCTGCCCAGCCGCCGAGCCGCCCGGGAGCCGAGCCGCCCTGCGCCCGAGCCGCCCAGCCGCCGAGCCGCCCGGGAGCCGAGCAGCTGTGCACCCGAGCCGCCCGGTCGCTGAGCCGCCTTTCTGCTGACTGCACGACCTGCCCTGCCTGGTGAGCACTGTCCCACTGACACTGCGAGCTCTTTCCCCACTGCTTGCACTGCGTCGCTGTCGTCACCATGGCTACCCCTAGTGTCCTAGCTTTTGACGCTGAGGGTCGCGCCATTGATTTTGAGGTCTGGTTAGACGACCTGCAGCTGTTCTTACAGTGCGACAGGGCTGACGACCTTTCTCTCTTTGACCTCACCTCTGGCGCCTCTCCTGCCCCTGCTGCTGATGCTGATCCCGCTGTCCGCTCTAAGTGGGCCACCCGCGATGCTGCTGCACGTCTTGCTGTGCGTCGCCACCTCCCTACCTCTGAGCGTGCGCACTTCAGTCAGTACAAGAGTGCTCAGACCTTGTACGACGCTGTAGTTGCGCGCTACTCCTCCCCTGCCACTGCTGCACTGAGCCGTCTCATGCTTCCCTACCTCTTTCCTGACCTCTCTGCCTTTCCCACTGTCGCTGACCTCATTACGCACCTCCGCACTAGTGACACTCGCTACCGCGCCGCCCTTCCTGCTGAGTTCTGCGCTAAGAACCCCCCCCCCATGTACATCGCTCTCTACTACGTAGTCGCACGCCTCCCTGACTCCCTTCGCGTCGTC